TTTCTAAATAAAGAACGAAATACTAAATTTAGTCTTATAAATATTTTAAAATAAAGAGTTTAAATATCGCTTATTTAAACTTATTTACTCTATTAAGAATATTCTTTAATATAAATATAGATAGTCGAGTAATAATAAATTTAATAAAATTTAAAACTATTTCGCTTCGTTTTAAATCTAAATTTATAAATCTCTCTTATTATAAAATTATAAAAATTATAAAAATCGTAAAAGTAATAAAAATTATATAAAGTAATATAAAAAAAATTTAATAGATAATAAAATTAAACTCTTATTAATTAAATCTAAATTAATTGAAAGTTAATTAGTTTTTTAGAAACTTATTATAAATATAACTTTCTCTTTTTCTATTAAAAATTTTTAATTATTTTTTAAAGCTATAAAGTATAATTTACGCTTTTAAATAAAAGTAAACTTTTTAAATTTAGTCTTATAAGTATTTAAAGATAAGATATTTAAATATTACTTATTAAAAACTTATTTACTTTATTTAGCATATCTTTTAATATAAATTTAAATAATTAATTAATAATATTTATAATAAACTTTAAAACTATTTCGCTTTATTTTACGCTATATAATAAGATAAAATAGAGTAAGATTTTAAATATCTAATATTACTTCGCTTTAAGATAAGATTTTAATAAAATAAAATTAAAATAAAATAAAGGTTTTTTATTAAGATAACGAAGTATTTCTATTATTTTTATTAAGTCTATTAATTAAATTAGCTTAAAATTATTATTATTATAAAAACTATTAATTAGATTAGCTTAAAATTATTATCTTTATAATATCTTTATAATACTCTTATAATATCTCTTTAAATATAATTTTATATATCTTTTAATTATCTTTTTAATTATTTATATCTTATACTCTAATTTAATTTATAATATTATATTTTATATTCTGTTTAGAAATATTTAAAATTTATTAAAATTATTAAAATATATCTCAAAATCGTATTTCTAGATCGAGATAAAGTTGAGATTTTAAGAAAATTCGAAATCTTAATTTAAAATCTTATCTTAATTTTAACCCCTTTTAAAATCTTATTAAGATTTCTTATCTTATTATATAGCGTACTTTATTCTTAATTTAAATATATTAATCTCTCTCGCTAAAAAATTAAAAAATTAATTAAAATTCTATAAATTTTAAAAATAAAAATAAAAATAATTAATTTAAAATAATTTTTTATTAATTCGATCTAAATTAATTTTGATCGCTGCTACGCGTATATTTTCTATATACTAGACGTATAGATTCTTTACGTTTAAATTATATCTTCGAAATTTAGTCGTTAACTCTCGATAGAGCTAGTTTATTTAAATTTCAGCGTATCGTAAGAGCGAAGAAGCGAGTATATATAGAAGAGATTTCTCGAAAAAAAAGAGAATTTTATTTACTTATAATCGCTCTATAAATAATAAGTTTATTAGCTTTAAAGCTTTTAAGATTATATATATTTAATATAAAGAAAAACTTATTATTAATATAAATTCTCTTTTTTCTATTAAAATATTTTAATTTTCTTTTTAATTTATAATTTATAATTTATACTTTTAAGTAATAAGAAAGTAAGCTTTTTAATTAGCGCTTATAAGCTCTTTAATTAAATCGAAATCGATTAAAAGACTATATATTTAAAAGCTAATTAAATCTAAGTCTATTTAAATAAAATTCGAGATTCGAAAAAACGACTTAATTAATTAATACTTAATATTATATTATTAAAAATAAGTAATACTTAAAGAAATATATAGCTTATCGCTTTTTTTATAATCTTTCTTTTTAAATAATTTTTCTATTAATAATTATAAAGCGTAATTATCTATTTATTATTTAATTCTTTTTTAATTATTCTAGAATTCTGTTATTATTAGAATCTCGAGCTTATAAATAAATACTAAATATCTAATTAATTAATCCTCCCTTCGCTACTCTTTTAATTCTTTTATTCTATAATAAATAAATCTATAAAATAAATTTATAATCTATTTTTTTAATTAGAGTTATCGAGTAAATTTAGTAAATAATATTTAATAAATAATATTTAAATATCTTATCTTTAGAGAATTATAAGATTAAATTTTAAACTTTTTTTATAATTTAAAAGCGTAAACTGCGATCTATAATTTGAAAAAAAAATATTAATAATACGAATATTAGAAATAGAATATATATTAAAGATATTTAAAGAGATATTAAAAAAATAAATTATTAAATTTTAATAGCAGATAATAAATATATTAAATAGTTAAAAATAGAAAAAGAGATTTTAATAGTTATAAATGTTTATTTATTTATATTTAAAAAGTATAAATTACTATTTATAATTTGAAAAAAAGATTATTAATAATACGAATATTAGAATTAGAATATATATTAAATACATTTAAAGATATTTTAAAGAGAAAAAATTATTAAATTTTAATAGAAGATAATAAACTTATTAAATAATTAAAAGTAAAGAAAAAGATTTTAATAATTATAAACGCTAATTTATTTATATTTAAAAAGCGTAAATTGCGATCTATAATTTGAAAAAGAAAAATTAATAATACGAATATTAAAACTAGAACGTATATTAGTTATATTTAAAGAGATTTCGAAAAAAGAAAATTATTAATAATACGAATATGAAATATTAGAATTAGAATATATATTAAATACGTTTAAAGAGATTTCAAAAAAAGAAAATTATTAATAATATGAATATGAACTATTAGAACCCGAACGTATATTAAGTACGTTTAAAGAGATTTGGAAAAAATACGAATACGAAATATTAGTACGCTGCGTAACGGGGCGAGGGACCCCGACGGATTTCGAGGGGGTTCGAGGTCGAGATGAGGTTTCAGGTCGAGGTTTCGAGTTTGTTTAAAACTTCGACCTCGTCTTAACTCGAAGTAAGATTTCGAGATATATTTTATTAACTCGATGTATCTTAAATATCTCTAAGTAACTTCTCTAAATTTTAATAAAATATATTAAAAATAGAGTAAAATAGAATATAGAATATAATATCGTAATTTAAATTAAAGTATAAGATATAAATATTTAGAAAGATAATTAGAAGATATATTTAGAGGGGTATAATAAGAATATTATAAAGATAATAATCTTAAATTAATTTAATTAATAGACTTAATAAAGATAATAAGATATTCTTATTATCTCGATAGAAAAAACTCTATCTTAATCTAATCTTACCTCGTTAAAATCTTAAAATAGAGCGAGATAGTATTAAATATCTAAAATCTCGTCTTACTTCGCTTTATTACGTAGCGTAAATGTTAGTATTTAAACGTATATTAAGTACGTTTAAAGAGACGAGAGATTATAAAAAAATACGAATACGAAATATTAGCATCCGAACGTAGATCAAGTACGTTTAAAAAGATTTCGAAAAAAATACGAATACGAAATATTAGAACTCGAACGTATATTAAGTACGTTTAAGAGCTCGTTTAAATATTATCTAATAGTTATATTTTCGATATAATTAGATTAGATTTCTAACTTTTCTTATTAAATAGCAGTATTATAACGTGCTAAGAGAATTATAAATTACGTTTCATAATCGCTTTAACGTTAAGCTTTCGATATAAGAATTTATAAATATATATTTAGAATATTTGAGAGCGTACGATCGAGAGAACTAAGTCTAGTTATTATGATTATAAAAGAGCGCAAAATTCAAATCGCTTTTGAATATAAGAGTAGGAATTTATAGAAATCCGACCTCGGATGTCGCTTTTCTTTAGTGTACATTTTAACTTAAAACTTATCTTAGAATAAGTTTTAGAAATTAGCGTACATTTTCATATTTTTTACTCTTAAGATTAAAATTTCAGCTATTAGAATTTAATCTTAACGTTAAGATTATATAATATTTTTATATCTATATTAAAGACGTAGAGCTAAAAATTAATTAAAGAAAATTATTTTAAAAATATAGCTATTAATATTGAAATTCGAATTATATAACTCTTAACGTCTTAATAATTAAATAATATAGTTACGTAATTCGTCTTAGCGTATTTATATATAGTCGCTCTTTTCTCTATAGTAACTCTATAGTAAATAATTAAGTATCTTATCTTATATTTCTATAGATTATAAATCTAAGCTTTATTCGATAACTATTATATTATAATTACTATTTATCTCTATAATTATAACTATCTTTAGACTTTTAATATCTATTTTATAATATTTAAAATCTATTATATAAAGATAGTAGTAGCTATAGAGATATTCTTTTAATCTTCTTAATAAGAGTATTTCCTTCTCTTAAAATAATTATAAATCTAAGCGAGTATAATTTATTAATAATATAAGAGATTAAAAGTCGCTTTTATCTTTACTCTAAGCGAGTTAAGATATATCGCCTTTAATTAAAATATTAAACTCGCTAAATATATTAAGTATATAATTATATTATTATATAATTAAATTATATTATTAAAATCTTTAAATTTTATTAATTTTCGCTAAGTTAGAATATTTAATTTTATTAAAAATAAAAATATTTTATATTAATTTTAATTTTAAAATTATATATTAATTATTAGATTAATAGCTATTTGTCACGGTTCCAATGACCTTACGACCTTACTTACTTGTGTTATGGCCCAATTGGGCTTAGCGTGCCAAGGCCTTTCGGCCTTTCTACCTTACTGTGAAGCCCACACTTGTAATAATCCTACATAGATAGTATTCTCTTCATACTACAATACAGAGTTACCACACACACCATTGAGTCCCTGACATAATACTATCTATCTTTCTTCTGGAGCGATAGCGACCTACTCACTAGTCATACTAAACGTGCAGCCAAGAAGAGAGTACACTACCAAGGAGTCAGTAGCCACAGCTAAAGGAGCTTACTACTCGAAAGATCATTTAAAAGAAAGCCTTTCACTTATATAAAGACCAATCTGGCTAGATTAAATAAGAACCTGAAGGAAATGGATACCTTCAGTACACCAAAAGGAATAGACCCTAGACTAAACCTCCTCCGTACTCCCACTGGCTCAACACCAGTGAACCCATCGACCCCAAATCCAGACAACACACAAAGTCAAACCGTCATGGGTGAGTCACAGACACGTCACCGTCTAGAAGAACTCGAGAACTCCGATGAGGAGGTCTTGAACACCACTACATTGTCCGCACGACGCAAGGGAAAGCGTCCTGTCTCCAGAAGATATACCATCGAACCCAGTTTAGATCACACCGGAGTGCAACTCACGGATATCACCGAAGAAGAGTCCACTGCAATCTTTGTATCCATCGCCAATTCGCAGGATTTTGTGGAAAGCGCTATCGATACTCCTGATGCTTGGTGTGATGGATTGAAGACTCTAGTAGAGAGCTTTCGAACTGCTAGTCGCAATATTGAGGTGCTTTAGTAATAAAATAAAGAACTTGGCTATAATATTGCTTAAGCTAAGACGGAGGTATTGGCAATTACCACCCAGCTAAGTAATAGTAATGGCCAATTATCCCACGAGCGAGAAATCAATGATAGACTCCGAGGTTTGCGTGATAGGTATCGCATTGACACCACGGAACTCACCAAAGAAAATGAGAAACTTAAGCAAGACTTAAAGCGTAAAGAGCAACAGCTGAAGGAGCAACAACCTCACACATTAGCTAATTTGGAAAACTCCGATGAGGAAGACGTGGAGGTCACACCTATACCTCGTCAGCCGAGTATTCCTGTCAGCAGCATCCATCGAAACTTACGCTACACCCCTGTCACGGATCGCGTAGAGGGTATAGAATTGAATAAACGATACCTTGACGTCTCGGATTTTTATGGTACTAATAATCGAACCAAGTGGGACAGCTGGCGTTAACACCTCAAAGCGAAGTTCAGACAAAGCGTCACAATCTTCCCCACTGAACTTAAGAAAATCGATTACATACGGGACCATTATAAGTCCACTACTTACGACGTCATCAAAACGAGAGTAGACGAAGATGCCTTAGACTTATACTAAACCGCCTAAGAAATGATCGACGAACTAGATAATATATTCGGAATATATGATAAGATTGCTAAATCGAATGCTAAGATATTTGATTCTAAATTTGGTATGGGAGTAATAGATAAGAAGGAATCGTTTAAGGATTTCTACGTACGATTCTCTATAGCTATCGCTCTCTTGGGATTTACTGATGTTTATAAGATATCCAACCTGAAACGACTGATCTCTATACGCCTGAGATATCGGATTTCAGGATAGCCTTTTAGTACTTTCCGAGAATTGGTTATTTTCCTACGAGCATTGAATATGGACCTCCGGGCTGTTGATAATGTATTAGGCCCAAAGAGTAAGGAAGAGACCAACAAAACTGGTAAGAATTCTACTCCCTCGAATAATCAACGTAACACTTCCTTCACTGGAAGAAATAATGGTACCACCACCGAAAATTCCAATATATGAGGATATAAGTATTTCAAGCTATTGGTGGATAGAATCCGAAAAGAAAATAGATGTTTTAAGTGTTTGAAGACTGGACACCGTTTTAGCGATAACAATGTCTTATGTAAGAATACAGACCTATTAATAAAAGAATAAGTTGATATAGTTCTAAAAGTCGTCGGCGTAGAGGAGAACGTCTTCGCCGAATTACTATAAGAATTAGAAAATTAAACGTCCCTGGTTAAGTTGCCGCTAGGGACTTGAAAGTCTTACGTATAAGAATTAAATAGTTAGAAACAGAAAGGATACTCGCTTTTGTCTCTCTATCCGCGTGTACTATCGCTACCGAAGCCTCTTTACAGAATAGACGTTAATTAGACTTTCGTGGGAAAATCATTACATTAATAGGATAGGTTAAGACTAATTGCCTCTCGGATATCGGAGCTTCAGTATTAAGCTTCATGGATGTATCTTTTGTTAAGGCAAACAAGCTACCCAAGGTAGCACTGGTACAACCCTGTAGGTTACGATTAGCCGATGATAAACCTGCCTCCGCACCCGATATTACACATATAGCCTTAGTGAAACTCGCCTTAGAAGACTATATAGAAGAACTTTGGTGCTTGATCACCTCATTGGGACGATTTGATATCATTCTAGGTATATCATAGCTAGAACAGTATAACCCTCACATATCCTTTAGATCTAGAATTATTACACTTAATTTAGATCACTGTATGTCCAACTGTTTGTTGCACAGTAAACCCGTCACTATTCAGAGTGATAACAAGTCTCCAAGAAAGGACTTGAATCATACAGCAAAGACTATGTTTAAAGAAAAGGATATAGTAGAGATCTCCGCCTATGTCTTCACTAAGATGGCTGAGAAATCAGAGAACCAAGTCATTGTCATGTGGCCTTAAGACTTCGAATAATTTTCCAATTCCATCGATGAGGAAGCAAAGTTTACCACTGACGTCGCCGCTATCACAGCGGAAGATTATGAGAAGTTCTTTCATAAGCTAAGAAAGAAACCACCAACCACGGAACAGCTACGGGAATAAGTTCCTACAGCATATCACGAATAGCTAGACGTTTGGAATCCCATCAAAGTTAACAAACTTCCCCCTCATCGCTCCATTGACCACGAAATAGATCTCAAGGAAGAAGCCATCCCACCATCGAAAAGGGCTTACGGGCTCTCCAGAGACCAGACATCAGTCGTAAAGGAATACATCGATGAGATGCTAGGAAAGGGCTATATTAGACCGAGCACTTCTCTCTACGCAGCACCCGTTCTGATCGTGAAGAAACCCGATGGGGGACTCAGGCTATGCGTGGACTACAGAGCCCTCAACGCACTTACTATTCCTAACCGAAATACTCTCCTATTAATTAAAGAGACCCTCGCTAAACTGTGCGCGGCGAGGATATATAGTAAATTCGACATTATAGCCGCTTTTAACGAAATCAGAGTGAAAAAGGGTCACGAAGAAAAAACCGCATTCCTTACCCGGTATGGCCTATTCGAATACATAGTAATGCCTTTCGGGTTGTGTAATGCCCCTGCCACTTTCCAGGCATTCATCAACGACACCTTACGCGAGTACCTGGATGTATTCTATACTGCCTATCTAGACGATATCCTTATCTATAGTAACACCGAAGATGAGTATGTTCAGCACGTAGGAAAGGTGTTGGAGAAACTTCGACAAGCTGGCCTCTACCTTGATATCAATAAATGCGACTTTTATGTCACCAGAGTTAAATATCTAGGACTGATCATTACCACGGAAGGAGTAGAAATGGATATAAAGAAAATTGAGGCTATTACTTAATGAAAGGAACTCAGATGTATTAAAGATGTACAAGCATTCCTGGGATTCGCTAATTTCTACCGGAAGTTCATTACGGGGTACTCTAAAATCGCCGTACCTCTGACGAACTTTACTCGTACTTAATAGAAGAAAGACTTTGTCTATCTATGGGCCTAAGGATATTCTAAATAACTCGCTTTCGAAATGCTTAAGAAAGCTTTCACTACTGCCTTTGTTCTTGCTCACTTCGACTTAGATAAAAAGACTTGGCTAGAAATGGACGCGTCTAATTTTATAATTACTGCTATCCTATCACAAGAAGATAAAGACGGAGTACTCAGACCTATGGTATTCCTCTTTAAGAAGATGTCTCCTATAGAGTATAACTATGACATCTATGACAAGGAACTCATAGCCATAATACGGGTCTTCGAGGAATAGCATCCTAAGCTCGCTGGTACCCCCATCGAGGATCTTATCAAAATTATTTCAGACCATAAGAACTTATAGTACTTTATGTCGTCTAAACAACTCAACTCCCGCCAAGTAAGATGAGCGGAGTTTCTTTCCGAATTCAACTTTCGTATTACCTATCGCCTGGGGAAACAAAGCATTAAACCTGATAGCCTCACCCGACGAGTGGGAGACTTATCTGAAAACGAGGACGACGATCGTATCCGTTATCGATACCGCACAATTCTCAAAGACAACAATCTTGACGGAGGTGTCAAGAACGCCGTGCACCTAGCCACTATGCTTCTGGACGATGTGAGAGAAAGTATTATCTCTCTGGCTGCAATGCTATATAAACTCAGCGAACGGAATAGTATCAATAATAAGGAGTCTAATGAAGAATCACCATTGGGGGCCTCGATAGAGACTTCTCAAGAGGAGTCCTTAGAAGAATCGAGAGAAGTCTTTACTGCTGATGCTTCTGAGTTATTGTATTAGATTAGGGACGCTTATAATCACGACGACACCGCTTAAGGAATTATTCAATCAAAGGTATCTAAACAGAGGAAGCTACCACTTGAAATAATTAAGAACAATCTCAAGCTGAAACTAGGTGATTATCACCTTTACGACGAGTTATTATACGTCAATAACAGATTATACGTATCGGACGTTCCCGAATTACGAACCAAAATCATTAGAGGTATTTATGACTCTCCACCTGGAGGTTACGCTGGTAGATCATCAACCTACGACAGAGTAAGTAGACTTTACTATTGGCTAAGAATGATGGATTCCATTGCCCGCTATGTCAAGAGCTGTCATACCTATAAAAGATCTAAGATTTACAGAGAGGGCAAATAAGGTCTTCTTAAACCCCTACCTATTCCCGAATGGTACTGACAAGACATTTCTATTGACTTTATTATATCATTATCTATTTGCCTTAGATACGGGCGCCCCTATCAACACATCATGGTAGTTGTGGATAGGCTTGGCAAGAAGAAGAAATTCGTTCCCTTGGACTCCCTGGAAGTGAAGGCAGTAGTTTAGGTCTTCATCGAATTCATATAGCGAGAGGAAGAATACTCATTCACCATTATCTCCGACCGAGGCACTCAGTTTATAACATATTTCTAAAGAAGACTATATGAAAGGATTGGGACCAAACTCAAACTCTCCACTGCGTTCCACCCCGAAACTAATAGACAAACAAAGAACGCTAATACTACCCTAAAGTAATATCTTAGAGCTTACGTCAATTATAACCAAGATAACTAAGTGAATCTATTACCAATAGCAGAGTTCGAAACTAACTCCGATAAGAACGCCTCATCGGGCGTATTACCATTCCTCCTTATTAAAGAATACATTCCCCGCTCGAGAATAGAACTCCCGACCCCTTAAGATCAGTCCGCTAGTCAAAGAGCGAAGAGAGATATTAAGTCAGCTGATGGGTTCATCGAGAAGATGGATGCCATGAGGAATTACCTGAGGAGTCAGCTCGAATGGTCACGAGCTTTGCAGAAAGAACAAGCTGACCGTCACCGGCTCCCGGTACCAGAATTTAGAGTCGAAGACATAATCATACTTAACAGAAGAAATATCAAAACCGTACGTCTCAGCAAATTACTGGACTATAAGAATTTCGAACCGTTTAGAATTACTAAAGCTTTAAACAATTTCGCTTATAAGTTAGAACTCCCGACTTCCATAAATAGTATCTACCCTATCTTTCATCTATAGCTATTACATCTCGATAATAGCGACCCACTACTAGAATAGATCGAGCCTCCGCCGCCTTCTATCGACATTAACGAAGAAGGAGAAATCTACGATGCTGAAGAAATAGTTCAATCTAAGCTGAACAAACGAAAGAATGATCCCTTAACTAGTAAGAGGGGATATCTGATATACAAAATCAGGTATAGAGGCCCTAAGACCGAGGAAAACTCATTCTAGCAACCATTCACGGATACAGTAAGATATCCGAATCTAATAGCAGATTTCTATTATTACCACCCCGAGGCCGTTGGCCCTCATTCATCATTCAAAAGACCTTCAGAATAATCTTCTCTATTAGCGCTACTAATCCATAGCAGCTACATCGACTCACGGGAAGACCCCAACACCGTAATGGAATACTAAGTCAATGCACCT